AGCAGACATAGCTGTTTTGCGTTGTCTTTTGCACAGCAGGGCTAGGCCCTCAGTAGTCCGCCATAGCCTCAGCCTGATCGAAGAAGAGGAAGAAGGCGGCCATGGCCATGGTGGAGCTCTAGTTATGCCAAGCAGTAGAAGAGGGATTCGGACTTTGATTCCCGTTCAGCCATTCATTATTATTATTACTATTTAATATTTATTGATTGAATAAGAGAGGAGGTGATAAGGAGGAGTTGGTCGAGTGACGGGGAATTGTCATTGACCTTTTGCTGGTGTACATCTTCTTCTTCTTCTTCTTTCTTTCTCCTTCTCCTTCTTCGTTCTCTCTCCGTCATTTCTTTTGCAATTGGAAAGCAGTGTGCTTTCTCATGAATTTCGCACTACGAAATTGGCCAGGATCATAATAGCTATAAGAAAATGGTCTGTTGTGGGTATGCCTTTGAGCTATAACAAATGGTCTGCTGTGGGTATGCCTCTATTTTCTACGCTTGGCTAAGCTGTGCATTTTATGCCCTACCTTACCTCATTCAATCTCTGAATCTTCCCAAGCATGTTCCACTTCAGAAACGATGTCATTCTGTTACCTGCAGCCAGATGGTAGTACAACACCGTTCTCAAATCTAATCCTGCCCCCCCTCTCTTACCTATTTTGAATACTTTACCTTCCCTAGCTTTGTGCTAACGGAAGGGCTAAGCTAACTCTTTGTTGGGTGAAACGGTGAGACCTGTATTTTACTATTTTTCCCTTTGGTTCTTTTTCACAAGGATGATATTTCTGTTTCAATTTTTTTTCTTTTTGGCTATGCTGGGCTGTCGCCCATCCCAGCACGCCCGGCCAGGCATGCCCGGGCCAGTTGGGCAGAGGGGGGGTCGCCCAGCAAAACCAGACGGGGCAAAAAAGAGGCAAGGAATCCAAGGATCCCAAAAAAAAAAAAAAGACTTTAGGTCAGGACTGCGCTTGGCCTAAGCAGTCAGAATCCAGTCTTAACTTCGGTTCTGGTGATGGGTCATCCAGGGGGGGTCGGGGAGTATAAACAGTGACTAAAGGGCTTAAGACTTAAAAGGGTACATTTGGACTCGTGTTTCCTCATTTATTTTTATCTTGAAATTAACAAGGCATTTCGAGGTGGCCCTCAGCCAAAAGTTGTTTGTATTGCAATTTTACACAACATTTTTTTTCCATAGTTTATGCGCTGGGATCGCCCGGGACCCTGCCTGGGCCCTGCCCAGTCCGGGCTGCCTGAGAAGGTACCCGGGCAACCTTCCCCCAGCCAGGCCGCCCGGGGACTAACACAGCTTTTTGGACCATTTCTCAATGTATGCTAATCTTCTCTGTATCGCTCCAATTGTAACGGATGTCCCAAAGGACAGGATCATATGTCTGTTTCTTTTTTCTTTTTTCTTCATATGTCTGTCTCTAATGTTTGTGTCTTTTTGAAAGAAACAGAACCTTATGGTTCCAGCTCCATAACCATTCTGGGAAGCATCAGTGTGGTTCCTATTCCACCGGCAAGTCAGAACTGAGTACAAGATGAACCCACTCCAATGCTTCCATCCACATTATGGCTAAGGGACCCGAGTGGGCGGCATTGATTACTTCCCGGAGGAAGGATGCACCTCCCCTCAACCAGTTATCTCTGTTGTCTTCCCGCTTCCCCTGTCACCGTTTGCTCTTCAGGACGATGCTAGACTTAAACCACCAGTTCACACGAACCCGACTTGACAAACCAAAAGTTGCACTTTTCCGAGACTGACTGTTACAGTGACAGGCTTAAAAGAAAAATATTGGGGTACCGGTACCAGCCTACAATGAAACGCGAGTATTGTACCTCGTGCCAGCAGATGGCACCAAAAAGACGAGCAAAAAAAGAAAAAAGGGAAAAAAAAAATCCAGATCAATGATGAACAGATGGCGTTGTCGTTTCATGAAAGTAACAGAAAAGAGATGCAGGAAGGCATCTGACCTAGGGCATACTCACAATAGTACTGTCCAGAATGTATCTGACCACTATCACGACCAAATCATTGTCTTTTTTTTCCCCTCCTCTCTTTTAATGCCCTGCCAGCAAGGCAGACTTTTTCCACGTTCTCAGGAAAGGCATAATTGAGAGCATACTCACACTACTACGTTACAGAATGTATCTGACCGCTACCCTGTCCATATATTCCATTCCTTTTTCCTTTTTTGAAGTTTTTCCCTTTTTGCTTCTTTCCTCCTATTTACATTCTCAGGAATGCCCTCACTCAGCGCATACTCACACTACTACTTTCGTGAATGTATCCGATGGATATTATATTATGTCCAAATGGGTCTTCGTTTTCCTTTTTTTTTTGTTTTGTTTATTTCTAAGATTACTGCCCTGCCAGCAACGCAGGACGTTTGAGCAAATAGTGCAGCCAAGCCCAGTCTCTCGTTTGTTTTCTTTATTTTTTTTGCTATTTCGCTTTCAATCGATTTTCTCTGGGCCCACCATCCTTTTCCCTCCGAACCTTCACCGTGCCGGATCGCTGATCATCTTGCCACGGTCGCAGTGTACCTCGTTTCAGTGAATAGTAGGGGTCCGTCCATGAACTGGAGGTCTTGACTAACCGAATGCCAAGTGCTGTGCACCTGGTCAGTCTCCGTGTCCCTTCCGACCGCACTCACCTACGGTCTCGCCTCCACAAAATCACCTCTTGGCACCTCCTCTTCCAAATGGCCCAGAGGGCCACTGTCTGCCTTATTTATTTTCTGCAGAATACCAATTTCGGGTTTAAAGTTTCTCAGAGTTCCTGTCTAAGCAGTGGGGTTTCTTTCTGGTCTCAAGGTCGTCCTTCTGATAGTGAGGATTAAGCCGCATATTTGACAGGTTGTTCTAGAGAGAAAACCATGCTTTTGCTGAGAATTCCTCAGCAGTGGCTGAAGTGTAGAAATGTACAGGGATGCAAACACTTGCCGGTCCTAGAACCAACAGGACAAGGGGGGAAATCATATTTTCTCTTGCAAAGATAGGCAGTTGATAGGAAGGCTGACTGCAGCAGTCAAATGACTACCAGCGATATGGAAAGGGAGAAGGTCGTAGGGGTTTTGCCAATCTCAGACTTTGGCGTGAATCGGGGTGTAGGACCTGATGGTCGCAAAACCACACACACACACAGGCGTATCGCTAACTCTGGGCGACATGTCCTTGCCCCTCAGTCAAATGCATCCAGGGCAGACTGTCGAAGTCCAACCTCCTGATGAGTCGCTGGAAGTCCAATCATACTTTTCTTTGTGAAGTTATGTATAGCGAACATGACAACTCTCTCTCTCTCTCTCTCTCTCTCTCTCTCTCTCTCTCTCTCTCTCTCTCTCTCTCTCTCTCTCTCTCTCTCTCTCTCTCTCTCTCTTTTCATTTTGAAATGGTCTATGCAAGCTACTTTTCCTCTCAAGCAGTCTTTTAACTGTCAGTTGGTCTGCATGATGTGATTCGCAAATTGGATTGATATTCTACTTGCACAACACACTTTGTTGGTCAGCCTCGTCGAGGCTAATTGCCTGATGACTTGGCTAGAGGATTCTATTGCCGTCTTTTGTCATGCCTTTGTTAATATCCCTTTGATATGACGATTATTTTCGGTGTTCATTGGTTGTGTTATTGAGATTGTGTGATTTTGAGCCTGATGAGCAGAGCCAGAAGAAGTGTTGTTCCTGGTCAACATGTCGTGTGGATCCAAAATTTCCCAAACAGGACCATTGTTATGGTCGGCCACAAGCACTCGTTTAGATTTGGCTGAGATGTGAAACACGGCCCCAACTCAAAATGTCACTAAGCCTGAATTGGGAAAAACGAAACGTACTACTTGCACCATAGATATGGTCTGAAGATTCGGCAGGCTCATCGGTTGTCCGAACGCCCCATCCAGATTATGTGAAAAGAGGAACTTTTCCTTTTTCCCCCTCTCTTCTTCCCTCTCTTCCTTCTGTTCCCTTTTTTCCTCCTCCTCCGATTTCATGTTTTCCCAATAAAACAGGTCCTTCTGGGTCTGGCTTCATATCCATACTGGGGAGCATTAGTTCAGTTCATTTTCCACCAGGAAGCCAAAAATTTACAATTTCACTCACTCACGCTTCGATTGCTGTGTCTTGCCGAAGGACCCCTCGTCATCATTGATTGCTCCAGATGTGGAGGATTGACTGTCAACTTGCCATTCAAAAGAGGAACTTTCTTGAATGTTTTCCGATTTTCTGTTATCTTTGACTTAGTTACGTTCTTTCAGGTCGGTCCGCAGACCACCTCCATGCCCAGCATTGGAACTTCAAGAATGGGCTTGGTCACGTTCTTTCAGGCGGCTGTTTAACAGTGCCCCCTTTTCCCTGCAATGCTGCATTTTGTTTGTGCACACTCGTTCATCAGCTGACATGCATGAGGAAGCCATGCTGTTCTGGCCAGCATGACAGCGATGAAGAGTCAGGCTCATTGAAGAGTCAGAGCTATCTTGGATGCAAGACGTGTAGGCCGCCTTGTTCACGTGGCTCCCAGATCGCTCGCGGTCATGGGTAATACAAATTAACCGTCTCCCAAATCACTCACCTAACTGGGTAATACTACTAATACAAATTTACTTCAGCAAACATACAATGCAAGAACATTCATCACAAGTTTCGCATCTTTAGCATTCAGTCAAACTAGTTGGGAATCCCTCATTTACCACCTGTACTTTTTGACCCTTCCCTTGCCGAGCCTGGAAACCCCCTGCACGCCAAAAAAGAACCAGCAGGTGCAGGCCTCCTTTTAGCTGGCTCCACCAGGCATTTTGGCCCGGTATGCTGAACCGTGAAAAATGCAGCACGTTAACTGCCGCGTCCAAGAAAAATGGCTGGGCGAAGTACTGGTGGTTTAATCCACAGGGGACCTCGCTGGTGTTAGCTCATCAAGGAAAGCTACAATGCAAGAATATTTGTCACAACTTCCACATTATTATTAATATTCAGACAAAGAAGTCAGGAATCCCCATAAACCTACAGGTGACCTCACCTGATGTCGGCTCATCAAGGAAAAGAACCTTCGATCCACCAATCACTGCAAGCGCCACCTGAAGTTTTCTCTTCATTCCACCAGAGAGGTCCACCACTTCTGTATGCAACTTGTCCATTAATCCTACTCTCTCCACCATCTCGAGAACGGCTAACCCCAAGGCTTTTCTGGGTAAACCCTTAATCGTTCCATAAAGTTCAAGATGCTCTTCGACCTAGCAAGACGAGACCAATCAGGTGAACAACAATAGATCATTAGGCTGAGGCTGTGAAGATGGGTCAGATAAGAGCAGAGCAGCCATACTCTTGTCCAGAGGATGCGCACACAAGAAAGAAAGAATCAAGTACAGTCTACTAGCGTGCAGAGGACATCAGGAGTGCTGAAGACAAGGTCTGAACTTAGGGAGACAACGAAGCCCATAAGAAGAACTCATGTTCAAAGCTCCAACCAGATAACAAATGGCAGAAGGGGCAGAGCAGACAAGGGAAGGAACCATATGGGAAGCATTACATCACCACTGGCTCAAATGCCACTAAGACAAAGACCGCAAAGGCACACAATGACGCTAGAGGTTTGTTCGGCCTACTGGCACTCTGAAGTCTGCTGTCCAGGATAGGCCTGACCCCACATTTGTAAGGAGTTTAGCGCCAGGCAAAATAGGTTCAAGCTTAAAGCTACAGAGGTTGAACAGCTAAGTGATTTCCGCAATGAGTCAAATGTGTAGCACAGAGTTCCACGTGTGCGCTCTTATGGCAAACGTTTCACGTCACATAAGTGACATAACCCTTTGCTCTGCATAAATGCCTGTGCTGGCATAAGTTCGGTACATAGACATAGAAAGGAGGGAGCTGACATGACCACATTTTCCCGGTCATGGGGTTATTGTTCACAAGGCAACTACTAACTGTTACACCACTGTGCTTCATCGCAATCCCCTATACCAGCTGCATTTATACAAGCCATGCTTGCAGTCGGCAGTGTATGCGTGAACTGCACACATGCGGCTCACGATAGCACACCACACGTTCATGCGGTCAGCAAAAACATGGGGTGGGAAAAGGCATGGGGAGGGGCAAGGGGCGGGGGCAGACCCCCATCCTCTCCTGACAAAAGTCATGCGCATTTGGCAAACATCATATGTGTGTGTCAGAGAGAGAGAGAGAGAGAGAGAGAGAGAGAGAGAGAGAGAGAGAGAGAGAGATCTGACTGGACATTACTAACGGCTTTGCCGGACTGCTCACATGAAAAATCACAAACGCACCTGCACAAGGAACGTGGCAAGATATACCAGGCTGCTATTCATCGTGGTGAATAGTGGCGGACGTATCTTGGCCCCTTCCGTGTGAGGATGCGCTTGTGATTATTTAAGGGATCATGTGTAGTTCGGTGAGTCCCTAAGTCTAGGGCTGTGTCAGATTTCGTGTCAAAGCAAGAGGGAGGGAGGGGGAGAGAGAGAGAGAGGAGGCGGGAGAGAGAAAAAGAGAGATTTGTCAGAGGGTTTCTACTTTCTCTTTTTCCAGTTCGAGTCTGTTGTATCTCTTTCATCACCATTAATGGCATTCTTTTTCGACATGATGTTGGGCTACTAATAAATGTTGTGTATGTGCTTTCTTTCATCTTTGAACACGGATCACAGCACATCCATGGCTTCCATACACAATGTCACAAGCGAACGTCTGCTCACATCACTACTTACGTTAGAAACAAAACGAAAAAGTAGAGATGATACAACCTGTCAGTCCTTGGAACAACATATGCTGCTCAGACTCCAATGACCTGGCAAACGGTATTCAGGTTGATCTGGACTCCACTGCCCATCTTAAAATCTCTCTCAAAGTTGCTGTGGATTCCGTTGAGATCAATGTCACTATATATCCTCTAGCAGAAGGTGAGAAGTATGTGGTTCTAGCCCCATATGCTGGCTGTTTTCGCCCCTGCATGCATCTATAGTTGAACGAGCAGTTCACACGAGCCTAAGTCGACGAAGCTACCTTCCAAGCCTCGCGAGACTCAACCGCGCCTTTTCAAAGCAGCCTGCCACTTTTGCTACTCGCCCAGGCCTGTAGCGAAACAGCCTTACTGCGTATACCGGCAAGGTCACCAAACTGGTTTGCGTGAACTGGTGGTTTAAGCCCCTCAACTGCAACCTTTCAGCCTGTCGAAGTATCCCACAGCCAAAACTTGATTAGAGTTTAGCAAGACTAGGACAAAAACCGTGTCAGCTGGCCCATGCTACTCTTTAAATGCCCGTGCCCGAACATACATAACCAGAGTTCACACACACAGACATAACTTCCATGCAAACATCACAATGCTAAACCCTGCATGTGTCAGCACTTAGCTTATCAAACAAAACAGACAGAGGTGAAGAAAAAACAGAAAAAAGGGGAGACTATACAAACCGTCAGCCGTGGGAACAACACATTCTGCTGAGGGCAGACTCCAATGATCCGACGAACTGCATCTTGGTGAGTTTGGATGTCACAGCCCCATATTCGGATCTCTCCAGCGGTTGGGGCGATAAGCCCGGTGAGCATTGATATCACTGTAGATTTTCCTGCGCCATTGTGCCCAAGTAGGGCAGTGATTTGTCCCTCGTATACATCTAGATTAAGCCCCTCGACTGCAACCTTCCCACCTGGGTAAACCTTTGTAAGTCCTTGCACCTGTATTGCAGCTCGATGCCCATTCCTACCACATTTCTCAAGCTCCTCATCACACTTTATCACACCATCGGCATGATAGTGTTCAGCCGGATCCTTCATTGGCACAGCTTCGTAGACTCCAAGTCGTGCTATCCTCAAGCTGTGCCGCATTCTGACAAGGAAGGATTCCCAGCAGGACTCAGACACCCAGTATGATGGCATCATAAAGAACCATACAGGCCTACGAAGGCCATACTGAGATGGAAGCACTTGCTCCAAGTACCATCCCAGAAAAGCAAAAAGGATGGCGTCAACAGTAAGCATTCCAAGGACCTTTCCCATCCCATACTCATGATGAGGACTTCCATTCTCCCCAGGAGAACCAATGAAAACCTCATGCCATGTCAATCCCTCTCCGGCACCTTCATACTGCGCCAACAAATCTACACCAAATGCAAATGCAGTAGGTGGAAGAAGCGAAGCTCCCATCTTCCCCGAGATGGCTTGCCCTTCGCTAGCCCGAAAGAAAACATAACGTGGAAGAAGAGCAGCGAAATGTGCGAAGGGTGCAACAACACTGGCAAGCTTTGCTCGTGAAAAGAAAACAGACATGAAAAGACCAAAAGAAACAAGGGAGCACCCATATAGATAGAAAAGAACGAATACAACACTCTTGTCACTTGCAGGAAGAAACGTGCCAGTCAATAGCACAGTAACCATCAGTCCTGCGACTGCAAAAATAAGGAGATAGGTTATCCCCCAAGAAAGCGTGAGAACCCATGCACGTAAACCCATAATTCTCATCGTTTCCCGTGATCTAGTCTCCTTCTCTTCAACAATGCCTTTCACCAGCATCCCCAGTGGATATAGAGTGCTCATACACATCAGCAGGCCCATCACAAAACTAACCGCAGAGTAGAACATGTTATGACTGTATGCCCCAATTGGAAATGGCAACCCCCATATCCCGCCATCAACAGGCCTAGGCAAGAAACTCTCCTCTTCTGAGCCCTCTTCCCAATTGCCCGCAACTCCAACCAATGCCTTCCCGGATGCCGCCTTCAGAACATATTCATTGATCGCACTCTGCAAGCTCATGAATCCACTCGAGTAGTATCGTTTGTAGGCCTCATGGAGCCCATGGTGCCACCGGTGCACTCGCCTCCAAGTTTGAGGCACACTAGTGTAATTCATGCGTATGGAGTAGTCAACATCACCACTCTGAACATCCAGCTTATGGAAGACGACTACCGCCCACAGTTCTCGACTGATCTCTTCTCCCGACGGACTCGCCTCCGTTTCTATCCCAACACTTGACAGCTTTGCTGCAAAGTCGAGCGCATCCGCCACAGTTTCAAAAGTGCCCGCATACATATTGGCAAAAAAACGATATCGCTCCTTCAAGTAGGTGACCAGAAGCCCCACCTCTGGTGTGTCTGGTGAGAAGGCAAGCTTGCCAAGCTTCAAGAGGTTGCCTAAGATGCTTCCAAATGATGTTTGCCAGTGCAAAGCCTCCTCATATGCACCTGGTTTCGACAGAAATGCACTCCTCAATGCCCTGTGAATAACAACAAATGTGTCGAGTGACGGAATAGGCAGGGGACCATTGTACTGACTGAAGTTGGCTAAGAACTGTTTCGCAGCAACAACGGGGTCAATACAAGATGCAGCTTCTTCTAGTACTGCATCTGGGATTGGCAGTCTCCTGCTCCCGACATCATCAGGATCCCAAAGAGGAGGCATCCGCCACTCCATTGATGGCTGAGCAAAACCAGGACCAGGTAACATTGGTGTGTCCAATCCCGCCACTGAGGCTTGTGCCCAGTCAGGCACCACCACCTCCTGAGGCTTGCGCTGTGGAACATCAGGACTTTGCCAAGGAGGTGCTCCACGAGGGAAACTTTCAGTTGGTGGCCATCCACTTGGTGGCTCACTACCAGGTGGTTCCCACTTCCCTGCTCCATGAGGGAAACTTTCAGTTGGTGTCCAAAATGCACCTAGTGGCTCACTAACAGGTGGTCCCCACTTCCCTGCTCCATGAGGGAAACTTTCAGTTGGTGGCCAAAATCCACTTAGTGGCTCACTAACAGGTGGTCCCCACTTCCCTGGCAGCCAGCTTCCATCCCAACCCCCAATTCCATCTGCCTGCGAGCTTGATGCGTTGAATCCCCTCTGAAACGCATTTCCTATTTCCTGAGGACAACCAAGCAAAGCAAGTCAAAATAATTCTCATTCAGCATGACCACTGAGCAGTTCAGAAATCAACTCACTGTCACCAACCCCATAAGCGCTAAAAGAAGCAAACCAGCCCACTGTGGCCCCTGTGTTAAAAGCAAAAGCCACCTTGACAACATTTTCCACAAGCACAGTGGCATTATCATCCAGTGATCGATTGCAGTGCAAAGAATACCAGCATTGAATGACACATTTGTGACTGTCCCAAGCCCACCAGAAGCATGATCCCCACTTTCATGGATGATCCCCGCTTTCTTATCCATGACAAGAGTCACACCCTGCTGTCAGTTCATTAAGCAACTGCATTATGCTCTTTCAGCAATGAAACAAATGAGAAGCAACAGTACTGAGCTCGAAAGACCTGAGCAACAGTAAGAATCTCAACTGTGATGGAGCACCTGAGTCACAGCAAAAGAAGCCTAATGCAAGGCATCCAGAAGAACTCAAAAATTCGCAATGCAAAAGCTCGCAGAAGACTAATCATGAATCAGCCAAGTTGAAAGCAGAATTACAAAACCGAGATAGTACCCAATCAAGAATACAGTTCAATACACTCCTTTGAATCCTTTCTTTTCTTTTTTTAAGTGTCTTCGCGCCTCCAACAATGAATAACAACAATAGTGTCGCCCTAGTATCCGCCCAGACTACTCTCCTACTCAACCTACTTAAGCTAGCTTACCACCTCTCACACTCTCTCTCTATACTGTCCTCCCACCAGCTGCCATGAAGAGTCCGATGGTAATCCTGGCCCAACACCAGGTAAGAATCACCAGCTCCCATTGCCATCCCCTTCTTCCCTTCTACCCGCCCACCCACCTGCCCGCTCACCGTTTGTCCGCCCGCCTGCCTGTGCACCCCACACCCACCTGCCCACTCACCCATCCCCCCGGTCATCCTCCTGCAGCCCTGCTCACTCTTATACCAGCCTGCCTGCCCACCTGCCTTCCTGCCTGTTGAGCTGTATCTGCCTGTCAGTCTCTTTCCTGTATGTTTGTCTGTCAGTCTGCCACAGCACACTTCACTTATGCGAAATGTCCAGCTGCAATGACAGCCACATTGAAGCCAAAAAAGTCATAACACCAGTCCACACTGCAAATGAAGTTGGAGTGGGGGAGGTGAGGGGAAGGGGCAGAGCGCAGGGTCACCAAGATGTCCCAGGATTACTAAGATGTGGCCTTCCACACGATTTTCCTACCACACTCTCCTCTAACCTCTCGCCCCCTCCCCAGGTGATTTTCCTACCACTCCTTTGCTTCTCTGATTCTTCAACTGAATTCAGGTTTGGGTTTTGAGGGAGGTTTGGCCTGATAGTCGTGCTGATGTGGCAGGTTCAGAAGGCTAGGTTTTCAGATACTACCTCTGCCAGTGGTCTTGTCTTGTTACACCACTTGTAGACTAGTGCTGGATTTTGCGCAAGGGCAATCAACTGGTCCAAGAATGGCACTTCAGATCCGGCATACTCGGCACTGTCATAGTGGTCAACAGTGGTGAAAGAGTAGGCGAGCACCAAAACAGACATCATCAACATTGGGCTGACCACTTCAAACACAGTCTGACACCATGATCGCTTCTGCAGTCCCACGAAGAAGAGCAAGAGGCAAAATGCAAAGTGAAAAACAGGAGACAACAATCAGTTCCTGGAAGCCTTCACTCACATGTACAAGCCAATCCACAACATCAACAACAAGTGGCAACAAACCTCCTCAATTATCATCCACAGATAGCATGAAATGCCACTCACCATGGACTCAGAAAAGCACAACCAATCTGAAAAGATCGGTCAAATCAGAAGTTAAAACAAGAAATAAAGCGTACACCAGAGAGTCAATTCAATTCGCCCTTTTTTTGAGTTCTCACCTTCTTCATTCCACTTTCTCAGAACTTCATTACGAGAATCTTTACAGCAACCAACTACCGTCTTCCCCTGAACACCACGCACCCGGATCATGAATGTATACAACTCTCTCCAGTCTAATACAGTCCAAGTGAGGGTGCATCATGTTCAGGGGAAGACGATAGCGAAGCAGTTGGGCGGTTGCTGACAGAAGATTTTGCTGTCACTAGGAGACCTGTTACAGCTACGCCCGCAATAATGAAGGAAGGTACAGTAGCAAAGCGTAGTAGCCTATTCGTGCTCTTTTCTATATTCATTTCGACTGCTCCGTAGGCGATCTGGAAATGGTGTAATTGAGAGAGCCTGGGGGCAGTTGTTGGAAGTCCCTATCAAGTATAAGAGTGCCATTATTGTCAAGCAGATCTCTCCTCCCTTTCCCCTTCCCCCCCCTCCATAGGCGATCTGGGCTGACATGGTGTGATTGAGAGAGCCTTGGGGCACTTGTGTTCGATCAAGTATAGCAGTGACATTGTTGTTAAGCAGATCTCTCCTCCCTTCCCCTCCCCTACTCTCTCTCTCAGCGTAGTAGCCTAGATTCGTGCTCTTTTCTATATTCATTTCGACTGCTCCGTAGGCGATCTGGGCTAAAATGGTGTAATTGAGAGAGCCTGGGGGCAGTTGTTGGAAGTCCCCATCAAGTATAAGAGTGCCATTATTGTCAAGCAGATCTCTCCTCCCTTCCCCTTTCCCCCCCTCCATAGGCGATCTGGGCTGACATGGTGTCATTGAGAGAGCCTTGGGGCACTTGTTCGATCAAGTATAGCAGTGACATTGTTGTTAAGCAGATCTCTCCTCCCTTCCCCTCCCCTACTCAGTCTCTCTCTCTCTCTCTCTCTCTCTCTCTCTCTCTCTCTCTCTCTCTCTCCACCCCCAACCATTGCATGCTTGCACAGGACAGCAACGTGCTTGGCGTCCAGAAACCGTTAGGCGCAGGGGGGCGCACCCGTGTTTTTTTTTCTTTCTTTCCTGTCGCCGTTACCTACCGAGGAAGTACCCGTGCTGTTTCGTTGTTGGCTTAGTGGAGCGCTCTCTCTCTCTCTCTCTCTCTCTCTCTCTCTCTCTCTCTCTCTCTCTCTCTCTCTCTCTCTCTCTCTCTCTCTC